GTGATGTGGGACTACGCTTGCAGTTAGACAGGAACTGCTTCAGAGAGCACCACATTTAAATGACTGGATTGAAGGATCCAAAAACGCCTGGAGAACTGGGGTAAAACAAATGGCTCCTGAGTGAAAACTGTGCAATCCAGTGTCCCAAAAAGTGTTGTATATATGTATTGCAGTTCCTTTTTCAAGACTGAGGCATTAGATTCTTTCGTTCATGAGTTTTCAGATTTTTTCTAAATAAAAAGCAGTAAAAAAATTCAGTTTTTTTATTTTTTGTCTATTTACTAACTCACCACACACAATAATGTACAATAACTGTAATTTCCTGAAAGCCAATAATTTTCTGAAAAAAATGACACCTTGCACTTGAAGATACCACATTGTGTTATAATTTTATACTCCAAAAACCAAAATGAGTGAAAACGGCCTATTTTAGCTTTAGGTTCTAAAGGGTTAAATTCAAGTTTTTGTTTTTTAAAGTGACGACCAAGGGGATAGCGACAGACAGTGAGTTGATCACGTTTGATCAATTTAGCCTTCTCAAATTATGACTACTTGCTTAAAATAAAATATATAGATATCAAACATTTCAAGCATATCACAATGTTAAAGTAGTAGAAAGTTTTACTACAATGTCGGGGTATGTTTCTCTTCTGCAATATCTTGGACGACTAGTAAAATGACAGGATCTAGGTCCTCACTTCTAGCACAATTGATTCCAGTACTTATTTAAAAATGTTTTGCCTGCCTTGATTATGCTTTTCTCATTTGTAGCAGTAAATGATAAGGATTGAGTCTCTGGAACATAATAACGCACGGTAGCACTACAGAGTATATTGATGTTAATTAACCCCTCTTCCTTATATCAGCCCACAAGACAGGAGGAATAGACAAGTTTTGGGTTTATTTTTCCAATGTTCAATAAACACAAAGAATAGTGGGAAATAATAATAATTTATAATAATTAATCATTTATGCATTTAGCAGACGCTTTTATCCAAAGCGACTTACAGTGAATTCAGGCTATACATTTTTTATCAGTATAAGAAACACAAATAGACCCTTGTGTCACTTTACTTGAATTCACCAATGAGAAATTTATTCAAAAAAAAAAAGTTTCACTTAACTCAAATTTTTGTCAGTCTCTTTGCCCTCTGCTATAATAGTCAAATCAACAAGAATCAAGGTAACAGTTCCCGCAATATGTTCAAATGATATTCAGTTTAACTGACAGCATGTATTACATTCCACATCAGATAATCTTTCTCATGTAAATCAACATACCTGAGTGAGAATCACAAAAGTCGCAACCCAATATTACCTCACTGCGGAACTGGGCTGGTATTGGAGTGTCCAACAGCAACCTGTTCAAAAAGAAAAAGTCTTTTCCTTTTAAACACAAAAAAAAGCAATTCAGAGGAAATCGGCGAACACATCATCCACATGAATGTTTCAAATATGCAGAACAGTCTTTCCAGCAAACACTGTAATGCAGATTCATTTAAAACAAGGCTCTGTTACCAGTTCTGAAAGTCCATGCAGATGTCCATCCAAAAAACAAACAAACAAATAAAAAAAAAGACAAATCTTGAGACAAAAAACATGGCAAAGCGTCCAAAAAAACAACTGTGAAATATAAAAAAACTAAAAGCCAAGGAGCAATGGCTGGATTAGGAAAATAAGGAAATACTGGAAAAAAGGAGAAATGCAGTCCCAGGAAGAGGATCAAAGAGTTCACAATGTCATCCGCCTCCACACAGTGGCAGTAATGTGTCAAAACAATGATTGAGGATTTCTGCGAAAGAACAGCAGCAAAAACCACTCGTTCCAAATCAGCTTTACTCCAAAGCAACAACAAAAATAATGTCCGTGTATTTCTTCCAGATGTCAACTGTACTGAAATAACAATGAAGAAAACTCCCTTCGATCGGAGACAGACACTCAGGCCAACACATCGTCTCAGCACACATGAAAATCTTCTTAGATCACTGGTCTCAAACTCAAATCCTGGAGGGCCAGTGTCCTGCACAGTTTAGCTCTAAACCTAATAAAACACACCTGATCCAGCTAATCAAGGTCTGCAGGATCACTAGAAAATTCAAAGCAGGTGTGATTTGGAGCTAAACTCTGCAGAGCTGTGGCCCTCCAGGAATTGAGTTAAGGCCACATTCAGCCCAAGATTGTTTTCTATGTGGGTTCTTAGCATATTGGAGATGCTCTGACCCAGTCGTCCAGCCATCACTATTTTGCCCTTGTCAAGGGCACTCACATATTTCTGCTTGCCCATTTTGTCTCCTTCCAACACATGAAATTCAAAAACGGACTTTTCTTTTTCTGCCTAGTATATCCCACCGCACTGACAGGTGCCAATGTAACAATGTAATTAATGTTGTTCATTTCTCCTGTCTGTGGTTTTGATGTTGTGGCTGATCAGTGTATGAAATTGTAGCTTTACATTTAAGAGATGTCTGTCCGATGCAAAAGGAGCACCCCATGGAAGTGCCAGGAATGTGATGTGGGACTACGCTTGCAGTTAGACAGGAACTGCTTCAGAGAGCACCACATTTAAATGACTGGATTGAAGGATCCAAAAACGCCTGGAGAACTGGGGTAAAACAAATGGCTCCTGAGTGAAAACTGTGCAATCCAGTGTCCCAAAAAGTGTTGTATATATGTATTGCAGTTCCTTTTTCAAGACTGAGGCATTAGATTCTTTCGTTCATGAGTTTTCAGATTTTTTCTAAATAAAAAGCAGTAAAAAAATTCAGTTTTTTTATTTTTTGTCTATTTACTAACTCACCACACACAATAATGTACAATAACTGTAATTTCCTGAAAGCCAATAATTTTCTGAAAAAAATGACACCTTGCACTTGAAGATACCACATTGTGTTATAATTTTATACTCCAAAAACCAAAATGAGTGAAAACGGCCTATTTTAGCTTTAGGTTCTAAAGGGTTAAATTCAAGTTTTTGTTTTTTAAAGTGACGACCAAGGGGATAGCGACAGACAGTGAGTTGATCACGTTTGATCAATTTAGCCTTCTCAAATTATGACTACTTGCTTAAAATAAAATATATAGATATCAAACATTTCAAGCATATCACAATGTTAAAGTAGTAGAAAGTTTTACTACAATGTCGGGGTATGTTTCTCTTCTGCAATATCTTGGACGACTAGTAAAATGACAGGATCTAGGTCCTCACTTCTAGCACAATTGATTCCAGTACTTATTTAAAAATGTTTTGCCTGCCTTGATTATGCTTTTCTCATTTGTAGCAGTAAATGATAAGGATTGAGTCTCTGGAACATAATAACGCACGGTAGCACTACAGAGTATATTGATGTTAATTAACCCCTCTTCCTTATATCAGCCCACAAGACAGGAGGAATAGACAAGTTTTGGGTTTATTTTTCCAATGTTCAATAAACACAAAGAATAGTGGGAAATAATAATAATTTATAATAATTAATCATTTATGCATTTAGCAGACGCTTTTATCCAAAGCGACTTACAGTGAATTCAGGCTATACATTTTTTATCAGTATAAGAAACACAAATAGACCCTTGTGTCACTTTACTTGAATTCACCAATGAGAAATTTATTCAAAAAAAAAAAGTTTCACTTAACTCAAATTTTTGTCAGTCTCTTTGCCCTCTGCTATAATAGTCAAATCAACAAGAATCAAGGTAACAGTTCCCGCAATATGTTCAAATGATATTCAGTTTAACTGACAGCATGTATTACATTCCACATCAGATAATCTTTCTCATGTAAATCAACATACCTGAGTGAGAATCACAAAAGTCGCAACCCAATATTACCTCACTGCGGAACTGGGCTGGTATTGGAGTGTCCAACAGCAACCTGTTCAAAAAGAAAAAGTCTTTTCCTTTTAAACACAAAAAAAAGCAATTCAGAGGAAATCGGCGAACACATCATCCACATGAATGTTTCAAATATGCAGAACAGTCTTTCCAGCAAACACTGTAATGCAGATTCATTTAAAACAAGGCTCTGTTACCAGTTCTGAAAGTCCATGCAGATGTCCATCCAAAAAACAAACAAACAAATTAAAAAAAAGACAAATCTTGAGACAAAAAACATGGCAAAGCGTCCAAAAAAACAACTGTGAAATATAAAAAAACTAAAAGCCAAGGAGCAATGGCTGGATTAGGAAAATAAGGAAATACTGGAAAAAAGGAGAAATGCAGTCCCAGGAAGAGGATCAAAGAGTTCACAATGTCATCCGCGTCCACACAGTGGCAGTAATGTGTCAAAACAATGATTGAGGATTTCTGCGAAAGAACAGCAGCAAAAACCACTCGTTCCAAATCAGCTTTACTCCAAAGCAACAACAAAAATAATGTCCGTGTATTTCTTCCAGATGTCAACTGTACTGAAATAACAATGAAGAAAACTCCCTTCGATCGGAGACAGACACTCAGGCCAACACATCGTCTCAGCACACATGAAAATCTTCTTAGATCACTGGTCTCAAACTCAAATCCTGGAGGGCCAGTGTCCTGCACAGTTTAGCTCTAAACCTAATAAAACACACCTGATCCAGCTAATCAAGGTCTGCAGGATCACTAGAAAATTCAAAGCAGGTGTGATTTGGAGCTAAACTCTGCAGAGCTGTGGCCCTCCAGGAATTGAGTTAAGGCCACATTCAGCCCAAGATTGTTTTCTATGTGGGTTCTTAGCATATTGGAGATGCTCTGACCCAGTCGTCCAGCCATCACTATTTTGCCCTTGTCAAGGGCACTCACATATTTCTGCTTGCCCATTTTGTCTCCTTCCAACACATGAAATTCAAAAACGGACTTTTCTTTTTCTGCCTAGTATATCCCACCGCACTGACAGGTGCCAATGTAACAATGTAATTAATGTTGTTCATTTCTCCTGTCTGTGGTTTTGATGTTGTGGCTGATCAGTGTATGAAATTGTAGCTTTACATTTAAGAGATGTCTGTCCAAGCTGATTTTGTGTCTTTCAGGAGGACCCAAAAGAGCTGAGCTTCTGGCTGGAAGATCTCTACACCCCTGGTTATGATTCACTGCTCAAGAAGAAAGCAGCTGAAATGAAGAGGAACAAAATTTGTAAAATGCTTGCAGCCATCATTCTGTTAGTTTGTGTGGTTGTGATTATTATTACAGTGCCAATAGTGGTAACACGATCAAGAGACTGATGGAGCTATGACAAGCGCTAAACCTGCCTCTATTCCAACAATCTGACAGTTCAGGTGAACAACAGCAAGCACTTCACATCGTGTGCATGTCCTATAATATTGACGGGGGTGTCAGTATGATGACTGGTATACTGTCTAAATTGCATTTTGTCTGTTGTGATTAAACTTAATCCACCAGGCTTGTGGTTCACTAAAAACGAAGGAATAGCCACATTGTTCTGTTTTGTTCTTACAACCATTATTAATATTTAGTTTTTTTTTTTACAGCCAGCTGGGATAACAACTGGTCTTATGATGATAAATATATTTTAAAATGCAATTATTTAAATGGAATTGAATTGAAATTGGATTACCGCTCATCTGGAGTCTCGATACAGGCCAGTGTGCCGAGACTCCAGATGAGCGGTAATCCAATTTCAATTAAATTCCATTTAAATAATTGCATTTTAAAATATATTTATCATCATAAGACCAGTTGGCACACTGGCCTGTATCGAGACAATGGACTGTTATTAAGGGAAGTGGAGTGTTTACATTTCAATATCAATTCTACTTACCTGCTGGTTTCTTGCTCTGCTGTTTAATGAACATTGTAAATGAGCATACCTGCACAGTAAATTCCCCAGTGTTAAATCAACACCGCTTGGTGTTAAAAGTAATTAGAGTTAATTAGGTACTTCAATGGTTAATTAAGAGATGAATGTTTGATTACTGAAGACACCTTATGATAACAAGCAGAATCACTGAATGAAAGAGAAACACAAGAACTACAGCTGACTTCCAGCCACAGCCTTAGAGGATCAACAAAATCAACTGAAACTTTATTTCTCTCATTGGTCTACAATTTTTTTTTTTTTTTTAATTAACAGGTTTAGATGTTGTTTTCTTGAAAATGTGTGGTTACCATCACAGTGATTAGTGTTTAATTTAGCTTCATCAGTGTTTATGAAAACATAATTTGTTACAAAGGAAACAATAAACAAGAGTGATCAGGTGATATGGTTTACACCATCAAGAAGTCGTCCAGTCCCATCACTAACTGAAACATATGCTGGTTCTTGATGTCTGTGGGTGTGTCTAATTGTTTTTCCCCACAATGTGTTTAAAATTTCAAGTTTTAAATATCTGATCTGTGGCATGAAGATTCTGTTGGTGAAAATAACAATGAACAACCACTTTTGGTTAGTGATAGGCTAATAGAGTGACGACAGTCTGCGATGTATGTCATCGCCCCGGTAAGCAGGGAGGGGACCAGAGACCTGGGTAAAGGTTTTATATTCGCACATTCAGACTTTCGCACATATTTCCGCGTTCAATAATTTTTTTATTATATGTGCAATAAAGTTATTTTTTTGCAGATTCTAATCAGCAACATGATTGTCAACCTACTTCATTTTTCAATTTTTTTTATTTTATTTTTTTTATACAATTGATCAAAATGGCCAAATATTGTTTTAATGGCATATTTACTTGCAAATGTCAAATGTAATGCGGGAAATTCGATAGGGACCATCTAAAAATCTCACTTTTTTTTATTGTGTGCAAACAGACAACTACATTTTAGCCAACTACAGATGTACCGGCAAATATCACTCACATTATCTTCTAATAATTCTGTCCAATTCCCCCCAATTCTTCTGTCTTCCAATGCTATAGATTTTCCTTTAGCAACAATAAAAAATAGCATTATAATGATGGTGTTTGAAAAGATGTTTAGGAAATGAAAAAGAATGAACATGTACAGTGGGGGAAAAAATTATTTGATCCCCTGCTGATTTTGTACGTTTGCCCACTGAGAAATAAATGATCAGTCTATAATTTTAATGGTAGGTTTATTTGTACAGTGAGAGACAGAATAACAACAAAAAAATCCAGAAAAACGCATTTCAAAAAAGTTATAAATTGATTTGCATTTTAATAAATAATATTTGACTCCTTCACAAAACATGACTTAGTACTTTGTGGCAAAACCCTTGTTGGCAATCACAGAGGTCAGAAGTTTCTTGTAGTTGGCCACCAGGTTTGTACACATCTCAGGAGGGCTTTTGTCCCACTCCTCTTTACAGATCCTCTCCAAGCCATTAAACGGTTACTCCATCCCAAAATGAAAATTTTGTCATTAATCACTTACCCCCATGTCGTTACTAACCCGTAAAAGCTTAGTTTGTCATCAGAACACCATTATAACGACTTTAGTCAACAATTCCTCTCCTCTGTGTCTCTCCGCATCACCGTAGCGCTATTTTGGAGAATATCCACTGAACGCAAGCAGCGTACGCTTTTCTGTATCTGCCGCGACACAAGGATATGTTTTCTACGTGTATTTACGCTTTGATTTGAACAAAAACAGCACATCCATGCAGCGCGGCTGGCACAGAAGAGCGTACGCTGCTTGCGTTCAGCGCAAATTCTCCAAAATAGCGCTACGGTGATGCGGAGAGACACAGAGGAGAGGAATTGTTGAATAAAGTCATTATTTTTGTTTTCTTCGCGTACAAAAAGTATTCTCGTCGCTTCATAACGTTACGGTTGAACCACTGATGGCAGATGGACTATTCTGACGATGTCTTTCATACTTTTCTGGACCTTGACAGTGTTATTTACTTGGCAGTCAATGGGACTGTCACAAGCCTCCCGGTTTTCATCCGACATGGGGGTAAGTGATTAATGACAAAATTTTAATTTTGGGGTGGAGTAATCCTTTAAGGTTTCGAGACTGACGTTTGACAACTCGAACCTTCAGCTCCCTCCACAGATTTTCTATGGGATTAAGGTCTGGATACTGGCTAGGCCACTCCAGGACCTTAATCTGCTTCTTCTTGAGCTACTCCTTTGTTGCCTTGGCCGTATGTTTTGGGTCATTGTCATGCTGGAATACCCATCCACCACCAGGTTTGCACACATCTCAGGAGGGATTTTGTCCCACTCCTCTTTGCAGATCCTCTCCAAGTCATTAAGGTTTCGAGGCTGACGTTTGGCAACTCGAACCTTCAGCTCCCTCCACAGATTTTCTATGGGATTAAGGTCTGGATACTGGCTAGGCCACTCCAGGACCTTAATCTGCTTCTTCTTGAGCTACTCCTTTGTTGCCTTGGCCGTATGTTTTGGGTCATTGTCATGCTGGAATACCCATCCACAACCTATTTTCAATGTCCTGTCAGTACATGGCCCCGCCGATCGTCCCTTTGATGCGGTGCAGTTGTCCTGTCCCCTTAGCAGAAAAAACACCCCCAAAGCATGTTTCCACCTCCGTGCTTGACTGTAGGGATGGTGTTATTGGGGTCATAGGCAGCATTCCTCCTCCTCCAAACACGGTGAGTTGAGTTGATGCCAAAGAGCTCAATTTTGGTCTCATCTGACCACAGCACTTTCTCCCAAGCCTTCTCTGAATCATTTAGATGTTCTTTGGCAAACTTTAAATGGGCCTGTACATGTGCATTTTTGAGCAGGGGGACCTTGCGGGCGCTGCAGGATTTCAGTCCTTCACGGCGTAGTGTGTTACCAATTGTTTTCTTGGTGACTGTGGTCCCAGCTGCCTTGAGACCACTGACAAGCTCCTCCCGTGTAGTTCTGGGCTGATTCCTCACCGTTCTCATGATCATTGAAACTCCACGAGGTGAGATCTTGCATGGAGCCCCAGACCGAGGGAGATTGACAGTTATTTTGTGTTTCTTCCATTTGCGAATAATCGCACCAACTGCTGTCACCTTCTCGCCAAGCTGCTTGGAGATGGTCTTGTGGCCCATTCCAGCCTTGCGGGTCCTACAATCTTGTCCCTGACACCCTTGGACAGCTGGCACAGAAGAGCGTACGCTGCTTGTGTTCAGCGCATATTCTCCAAAATAGCGCTACGGTGATGCGGAGAGACACAGAGGAGAGGAATTGTTGAATAAAGTCATTATTTTTGTTTTCTTCGCGTACAAAAAGTATTCTCGTCGCTTCATAACGTTACGGTTGAACCACTGATGGCAGATGGACTATTCTGACGATGTCTTTCATACTTTTCTGGACCTTGACAGTGTTATTTACTTGGCAGTCAATGGGACTGTCACAAGCCTCCCGGTTTTCATCCGACATGGGGGTAAGTGATTAATGACAAAATTTTAATTTTGGGGTGGAGTAATCCTTTAAGGTTTCGAGACTGACGTTTGACAACTCGAACCTTCAGCTCCCTCCACAGATTTTCTATGGGATTAAGGTCTGGATACTGGCTAGGCCACTCCAGGACCTTAATCTGCTTCTTCTTGAGCTACTCCTTTGTTGCCTTGGCCGTATGTTTTGGGTCATTGTCATGCTGGAATACCCATCCACAACCTATTTTCAATGTCCTGTCAGTACATGGCCCCGCCGATCGTCCCTTTGATGCGGTGCAGTTGTCCTGTCCCCTTAGCAGAAAAAACCCCCAAAGCATGTTTCCACCTCCGTGCTTGACTGTAGGGATGGTGTTATTGGGGTCATAGGCAGCATTCCTCCTCCTCCAAACACGGTGAGTTGAGTTGATGCCAAAGAGCTCAATTTTGGTCTCATCTGACCACAGCACTTTCTCCCAAGCCTTCTCTGAATCATTTAGATGTTCTTTGGCAAACTTTAAATGGGCCTGTACATGTGCATTTTTGAGCAGGGGGACCTTGCGGGCGCTGCAGGATTTCAGTCCTTCACGGCGTAGTGTGTTACCAATTGTTTTCTTGGTGACTGTGGTCCCAGCTGCCTTGAGACCACTGACAAGCTCCTCCCGTGTAGTTCTGGGCTGATTCCTCACCGTTCTCATGATCATTGAAACTCCACGAGGTGAGATCTTGCATGGAGCCCCAGACCGAGGGAGATTGACAGTTATTTTGTGTTTCTTCCATTTGCGAATAATCGCACCAACTGCTGTCACCTTCTCGCCAAGCTGCTTGGAGATGGTCTTGTGGCCCATTCCAGCCTTGCGGGTCCTACAATCTTGTCCCTGACACCCTTGGACAGCTCTTTGGTCTTGGCCATGGTGGAGAGTTTGGAATCTGATTGATTGCTTCTGTAGTATTTTTGGACCTGTCACCCTCACACACATAAAGACCACACGACCACTCGTTGATGAGATTCAGCACTTTCTTTTACTCAATCTGTAACAAGGAGAAATAATCAGTGAATCAACAGGCGACAGCTTCTCCCTCTCTGGCACACAGAGTCATTCATGGGAGTAGTACATGTGCTCATTAGCCTCGCACACAGGTAGACTGAGGCTATCACATGTCGCACGCGTGGAAACCCCGGATGTGTTCCACT